GAGAGAGAGAGAGAGAGAGAAAGAGAGAGAGAGAGAGAAAGAGAGAGAGGGAGAGAGAGAAAGAGAGAGAAAGAGAGAGAGAGGAATCGACAGAGGGGGGGGGGGGGGGAGGAGGGGAGGCAAACGGATAGTACCAGAGGGAGAGACAGGTTGAAGGACACAGAAAGGGTATCACGGAGAGAGAGCGCTTTGTTAGGTAGGCGATGCGTGAGAGTGTAACGTCACCGAAAAGTATAGATTTAGCTGGGAACCACCCCGTCTGGGTGCGTTGAAGCGAAACGACCGGATGGCGACATGAGTCGGGTGTCAGCTCACGAGTTGTTTCTACTAGCGCCAAAACTATATCAATCCGAATTGGCTCTCACTCGTGTTTCGGGACCAAGAGAAGGCAATTTGAGACAATAAATCTTTATCTATCGTGTGTGTGGTAAAAGTAGTTGGTGGTCATCATGCAACCCCACTGTGTTCATCGCACACCCTACCGGAGCCAAGGATTGGACGTGGTGGTCGCGATGTTTCGTAGGAGCGGTTTGCAACACCAGTCGCGTGAACGCGCACGATCCGACGCGTTGACCGGATGGCGTATTTTTCGTGTAAAGCAAAACGTGCATTCGTCACCAAAACCTAGAACAACACACATGGATTGCCTGAAGAACGAACCCCCCCCCCGCCAAACTTCCACCCTACCACATCATCTCACCTCCCGAGCACGTGTGGGATGAAACCTTCCGCGCAACAGGCCGTGATGTCCCAGACATTGGAAGGCTTCAACATCAGGGAAGAGCTTGGCAAGATCGAGTGAGTTATCAATCGTAATTGCCAGTCGCTACGCCGCCCCGCCCCCCCGACCAAGCGGTAAGCGCAACCGCGGCATGTATGTAAACCAATCCACAGCCTGGCATTCGGCGTGTCGCACGCTCGGCATGAAATCAATCACTCCCCGGTCCAGAACGTATTAGTTTGTTCTGCGGCGGCCTCACCCGCGGGTCCGCCTCGATTGAATGAGGCCTACACCCTCCCTTTGACGTCATCGCTCCTGCTTGTTCCGTCTGGCGAAGGATGTCCTGTTCTCGTTGTCGGCACAAGCACGCCGGTTTGAACCTGGCAAGTCGTGCGCCGAGGCCTACAGCACGTGCCACAACCTACTGTAGGAACCTCGTTTTTTGGCGCAACCCTCGCTGTATTTGATCAGTGGGGAAACCAATAACAGGGCAGATGTCTAGTACGTTTTAGCGCAGGTAAGGTTTTTCAAGCTTTTAATCTTTCTTCAAAATCAAACCGTCATGTTCTTAGATACCAATTTCTTGAGCGGTGGTGCGTTTCATACGTAAGGAAACAACCTTTTGCTTGTTTCCCATTATACGCGTCGTGTCTGCGTTCAAATCACGTCAGCTTCTGGCGGTAGTCACAACATCACTCCTTGCCCGTGTGCTGCCCTTTGACTCGCTCGGTAGTTGTCTCAGGTACGCGCAGGGGATCATCAACGAAGGATTCGGCCAACGCGGAGCGTTTGCCGACATTCAAGAGGTAAAAACAGATCTAACCCGCCTGGCTCCTATAGCAATCCTCCCCGACCCACTCTTTTTGGCTGGCGACGGAGGCATGTTCGGTGGGGGGGTGCACAAAGGGGAGTTTGGTAACCTGGTACTTTTCTCATATGCTTTGCTCATGCTATTGCTTGCTTTGAGGTATTCTGGTAGAAAATCATCTCGATGTTGAACCCCTGACTTCGGTTGGCATGAGCCTAGTCGTGCGATGTGTTTTTTTGGTGAGAACGGCCTAGGTAAACTGCCAACATGAACCCACCGACCAGCGGTCGTACTGCTCTCCCCCTGCCGAGATTCAGCCAAAAATTGCCTAAGCACCACCCGCTATGCACTGGATTGCCGGCCGATTGCTGCCTTTGGTTCGTTTGTTCATTTTTTCCTCCGTATTGTATAACATTTTTCTTCAACGCCACTTTTTGTGTTGGATTTTTCTCGCCCTCTCTGTTTTCTCTTTGAAAGTATTTTCGCAACATGGCAACAACAATAATACACGCACTTGTTCTTCTGGTTCATCGATAGTCTCGTTCACATTGATTGCTGGATCGGGGGGTTTGAATACACATCGGAAGAGCTCTTCTCCACAAGAAGGAAAAAGGCATAAGAACACATCCGACTCATGCTACAGGAGCACTGTTTCCTCGTGTATCACCGGCGTGATTGTTTTTGCTTTGCAGGAACACCTGGTCGGACACCCAATCTATGCCCCCCGCGGCGCTCGGAAGCGTTTGCTGGCCCTTGCGGAGCTGATTCGTCTGCAGATGAGAGCGGAAAAGAAGAAAGTTACGGCCGTGGAGGTGAGATGAGGTGGCGGACTGGCCGAGTGAACGATATTGTTGTGCGTGTAAACGCCAATCAAGTGCCCCCCCCCCTCTCTCCTCTCTTCCTCTCTCTTTCTCTCTCTGTCTCTCTTTTTCTCTCTCGCTCCTCCTCAGACACTTTCGTACAGCTGGGATCACACACAGAAGGCCTATATTTTCCCTTAAGCTCCCCTCATCTCCCATCTTCTGCTTGCTGGTCATGCATTTGTTTCACAAGTAGCGAGATGGTACTGCAATCCTTGTTTCTTCGTCGAAGGAGGAGTCGTAATTTTGCCGAATGTCCGTCGGGAAGACACTTATAACTGGCGTTTGTGTCTCTGGATGAGCTAAAGCATTCAAGAAGTATCGTCCTAAAGGCAACATGCGAAATTTCATACATGTGGAGAGGATAGCCTAGCTACATCGAACAGGTTTGGACCGAGCACTACACAGCGTTTCGGGGAAAATAATCCTCCTTGCTCAACAGCACGAAAGCCACTTCCGAGCGAAGCAGCACCAAAAACATGCGGTATCCACCCTACCGGCGTGCATTCTTGCATTGCATGCAAACAAACAAAATCAGGAAATCGCCGAGGACGGGTCGGCGTTCCCGTCTCAAGCGCTCGAGCGGGGCTACACGACTGATGGAGTTGAGTTTTTCGATACGCTGGCGGCGATGAACTATTCCATGGAGGAGGATAGGGCCAAAGTCGAGTTGACTAAAGCGAATGAGTTCACCACCCAACAAGAGGTAAACTACGTCGCAAGTGGCAGAGATGGTAAAGGGGATTCGTTTGGGCTTCGTTCCATCATCAACAACAACAACAACCAGCTTGGCCATCGGCATACGACATTCTGAATGCAACTGCCTGACCACGTCTGTTTTCCTGACTCGTACAGTATACCTTACATTGTACTTGCATGCGCCATCATCGGATCGATCGGTGTTATGCCAATGCAGTCCCGTTGATATTCTCCATCCTTGCTGCTCGGTATTTTGCGTGATTCCAGTTTTTCATCTACCGGCTCAACTTCCACGTCTCGGAGGAATGATCACCACCCCCCCTCATCCCCTCCACCGTCTTCCTTTGCCGCCCAAGCATGCTCCTCCTCAACCCAAGCCCCCCAAGCCGCGCAGCGCCGCCAAGGAGAAGGTGAGGGGACAATTCGATGTGGCGGTGCTGGTGGCGGTGCTGGTAGGTGACGAAAGAACGGAGTGAAGCCAGACTTCCCCTCTACCACTCGTTCTGGATCATAGCTTGACACTCGTCACTCGCCACAATCGACGGGGATGATAGCAGTGATTGACGTTGGTGGCGGCGTGCTGCAGATTAGACTAAAGAGGAAGGTTGGGGTCTGTCGCTCAATCCAACCACAACGAACGGCAGGGAACAACGGCCAATAATGCTGTCACCCCCCCCCTTTTTTCCGTACGTGCGTTTTTGGGCCTGTCTTCTTTTCCAGCTCGTTTGGCACACAAATGTCGGTGCGAAGAACACCAGCCCGCCCCAGATGTCCGCTCCCCAAGCCTCGGAAAGTCTTACATTTTCACACGCTAGAATACACCACAGCTAGCTACCGGGTCCTTTCTCGCCCCCCCCCAGGTCAATGGTCTGACGACTACGGCATGCACGACTACAAACAAGTACAGCTCCCCCCCCGCCCCCCCGACTGCCCAATCTGTCTTTCTTGCGTCGGTTTTTGTGGTCCGGTATCCGCCAGGTTATCCGTGCCATCGAGGCTACCGCCGAGGCTGAAGAGCGGGGTGTTTACAGGGACCATCGCGCCGCCGGGCAGAAGAAGCACGTCCAGGTTGTTGGTGCTTTTGGAATCGGTGGGGGGGGAGAGGAGGGGCCTTGCTGTGAGAAGCACGCCTTCCAGCTGGAGAGGAGCGCGGCGCACAGGTTGGAAGAGCGCGTGAAGGAGACATCGAGCAAGGTGAGCGCACGTGTAGCATCTCTCTCCCCCCCCCCCCCCCCCCCCCCCCCCCCCCCCCCCCCCCCCCCCCC